AAAGAGAAGGTTCATTTGACTCAACAAGTGGGTTTTGCATTCACTTTTCAGGAAGGAGTAACAAACTCCTGACATACTGATTGATTCGATCATTATACAGAAATTGATGGGGGGAACTGGACAATATTGCCCTACATCAGTATAAAAAGTGGCGTTATTTATTTATTTATTTTTGCCTTGTATTTTAAACTTTGATCAGTGTGTTGAATGAGTCTGAAAAACAGAAGTTGAAGTTTTTTGTTGTAAGATTTAAAGCAGCATAAAAGATTCAACTTTTGTCAGTATAGCTGTAACACTAATCTATTTCTCTATCTATATTTATTGTATGGTTATTATACATTATATGAAATTAAACAATGTTACATCAATGTTCAATGTCATGACTATTCAATATGATGCTTGAGCCAGGAGATAATTATGCTGTATGACTTGAAACAGGAAGGAACAGCCTGGTTCTGTCCAAATGTAACACTATATATATTTCATGCATCCATCCATCTATCTATATATACACATAGATGCATGAATTTGATTATTCACAAACAATGTGGAAATTAGTAAAAAACAAAAAAATAATATTTTTCTGGGTTTACTTTTTACATTATTGTAAATATATATTACTGCCTCTCATATTTGTTAAAACCAAAACATTTTACCTAATATTCGGGTCATATGAAAATGTGTTACCCAGTGTGATTCACTGACAAAAAAAAGCTGATTCAGGACTGATGGACTGTATGGGGATTGTTGAAAATGCTGTTACAGTAATATAGAAAATGACTGACCTTATGATAAATGTGTGCACAATTAAATAGAACTGTTTAAAACCTCATTTCCTACTACAAAAATAAAAAAAAAGACTGTTGTGCTAGCAAAGAACCACTCCAACAAGCCAGGTAATGGGTACAAACAAGGGATTCCTTTAATGACCATTGTCTTGTAAAGAAAATAATACATGACTAAAAACAAGACGAACACTTCGTGGACCATATTCAAACAGTAGTAGAATGTTCAGCTGTAGTTATACTAAGTCTGCGTACACAGTTGACATGAACACAGCTAGCTGCAAACTGAAGTGTTGTGCAGGGAATAGAGCCAAAGAAGTGACTGTCTGACTGTCTGGTAAATTATCACCTCGTTTCTGACTCTCCTGTTGAGCATGTGTTGATCAAAATGCCTGTGTTTGTCTGATATAACAGTGTGAGTGAACAGTAGGGAGGAATGGAGGTAGGTTTGGACCTACTGAAGCTGTGTAAATATGGTCCAGAGAGGCTGAGAAACAACCACAATCAGCATTTAAAAGGATTTTTTAAAAAAAGGATAGAACGATAAACCTTGTAATATTTACATCTCAAAGGGGAAGTGGGAGTGTATGCTTTGTGCTCCAAGTTTGTCTTTTTAATTTCTCATTTTCTCAGTACCTCTGCCAAGTAGGTAATGTTACTGGCATGTATTGGTTTGTTCACAGAATAACTAAAAAAATAATGAATGAAATGCTAATGAATTTTTTTGGAGAGGTAGGGTATGGCTCATGGAACAATTCATCACATGTTGGTCCTGAGCTGGATTATCCTCTGGAAACAGGAATTTTTTTTAAAGATGAATCAGCCTTGTGAGATAGGGCCAATTTCAACATTTTTGTTTCTAACCCCATACACAGTGCCTATAATACTTGACAAAAATTGCACAATAACATCGACATAAGATCTACCACACAAGAAAGTAACATCTGGATCTAATAATATTCCGTGACTGCTGATCCAGAATGTTCAAATTTACAGGGCTTATGGAAAACTTACTACTGTGACACAACAGATGATGCTACAGACTTTCAACTAAGATCAAATTCAGAAACTCTGATAACTAGGGTTAATGAGTTTGACGTATTTTCAACGGGCTGAAGAAAACCGCCATTAGTGAAATCATGTGTTTCTTGAATATTTTTCAAAACAATAATGATATCAATGTGAGTTAAGGAATAATATTATGAGGGTCAAACTGTCATATTGCCTTTAGATGTAACGGCATTACGGGGACAGTGGGAATAAAAATAGGAAAATAAGGCAGAATGTCTAAACAGTCGAAACAGTTACATGAGACAACATACAACTTGCTTGTTGATTAGGGACACAGAAGAGTGCAGTGAGCTCACATTTTGCTGCATTTCTTAGTCTATTCAGCTAACTAGTCTACTACTAACAGGCTTTTCACCTGGACTATCAGCACGGGTGCCCACCAGGGATGTGTGCTCTCCTTGCACCTGTTTTCCCCCTAACTAAACAACTGCACCTCATGACTGCTGGCTTAAATTCCTAAAGTTTATAGAGCATGGTCATCGACAGTGAGGAGTCAGTTTAAAGATAACAGGTTAAGCAACTGGTCCTGTGCTGCAGTCGCAACAACCTGGAGTTAAACACGCTCAAATCAGTCCAGATGACAGTGAACTTTAGGAGGAGCCCCCTCACCCTAGCTCCTATTACCATACTCAGCCGCACTGTATCAGCAGTACGGGCCTTCAAAGTACTGGGCTCCACTGTCTCCCAGGACCTGAAGTGTCATGATTCTGTCCCGCCTGTTTCCAGTATCATGCTTTTATTTTGTTATCACTTCCTGTTTCAGTCTCACCCCACATATGGACTCTTCACACTAATCAACACACATAGTTTGCACCTGTTTTCACCCTGTTACAAACAGCTTTCCCCCCATCGGAAACCTGCCAGATTGTTCTGACCTCAATTCAGACTTTCCAGCATTTTCTTGGTACCTGTTACTCCAGCTCTGACTTTGGATTGCTTTTTGACCACTGATTACTGCCTTACCCTTCTGCTTCTGATCGTGTACTGTGTTTTGACCTCTGAATTTCCCCTTCTGACCAATCTTTTGTGGATACCTCAGTTATGCATGTTTGCTGGCTCTGACCCTGGACTGTATTATCAACCCGAGTGTGTTTTCTGGACTCTTGCATTGCATTCTGTTTATCATGACCAGCATCTCAGTAAGGAAATTATTATAATTCCAGACGAGGTTAAGCAGAAAACAGAGTTCACCATTGACATCATCGGCAGCTTTACGCACCATTCCTGACAGTACAATCTGGCCAAACATGAACTCAGCCAGCGAGGAAGACGGAAACTGGCGTGCCAGTATTGGACAAGCTTTGGCTTCCCAAGGGGATGCCCTGGGCAGGCTACAGAGGGGAACTGCACCGTTTGGGGGTCGCGAGTGCGCCTGGAGCACTGCCGTAGGTGCATGTGCTTTCCCTGCCGCAGTGGTGCATGAACCCAAGCTCTCTCTGCCAGAACGGTATGGAGGAGAGGGTGGAGAGAGCTGAGCATTTCTCACATAATGTGAGATCCTGTTTGAAATGCAGCTTTCAGCATTCTCCACAGAGCGAGCCAAGGTAGCCTATGCTTTGTCGCTAAGAATATTCCCGCCCCCACCCTGCCCCTGAGTCTCAGCCCATGGAGACCTGCCTGAGTCCAGCTGAACCCCGAGCCATTAGGCAGGAACGGAAGGCCCAGATGGTCTCTCCGCTCTCCCTTCCTACACTGAAGCCCTTTTCTTGGCCTGAGCTAGAGCTACAACCTGTGCCTGGTCCAGTTTCCCAGCAGGTCGGCCAGACCACCGACACCGCCCTTGTCCTGATTCTGTCCCCTCCTAGATCTGGGTTCTTCCTCCCGCTGGTTTTGTCATTTGTTTTTTTTGTTTTTTTTTGGGCCCTTCTTCCTGGCCCCCAGCTCCCTCAGGGGGGGGGGTGTGGTGGGGGGTGTACTGTCATGATTCTGGTGTGCCTGTTTCCGGTATCAATCCCACCCCGCATATGGACTCTTCACACTAATCAACACTCAGTTTGCACCTGTTTTCACCCTGTTATAAGCAGCTTTCCCCCCACCGGAAAGCTGCCAGATTGTTCTAGTTTTTTCTCTCACTGTGACAGTTTTATTTGTGGTGCCTGGTTGTGTTGCTGTTTTGTGTAAGAAAGAAAGGTCATCTGACCTGTACACGTCGCTTCTGTTATGCTGAGTCAGCTACACACACTTCCTCACAACATATACAACAAATTTAACCAACTTGTGCTCTTCCTGCTGCTGTTTAGACAGAGTACAATCAAGCAATCACAGCTACAATTGAAGTTGTTGTGCTTCTTTTCAATCCGGCTCTCATTTTTGCTGAACCACTGCTTTACCATCAGGCATGGTGCTTGCTGCCTAGCCAAGAGGCAGCTGGCAGCAACCTCTGTTAATCTTCATGATTAAAACTCATTTTATTTAGCCTGCCTGCCATCAGGGCATAAGTCTAGAAAGACCAACATGAGGAGGAGAGGGGTGCATGAGAGGAGCAAATGAAATGGGGATTCAAATGCAAAGAGAGTCAGGCACTTCTGAGAGTGAGTGTGTTTGAAATTTGAAGAGAAGAAATGTGAGGAAAAATGTGCATTTGTATGCATTCGGAACTAGTGTAGTGTAGTTGTGAGAATCTCAGTGAAATGTCAAGAGGAAGCCTAACACCTTAAAAAAAAAAACACAGAATTTACCAGTCACAGAGGGTGTGTCAAAAGCAAGCTGTGCACAGACAAACACACAACACCCAGGGGAGCACCATCACCATCACAAACCAAATAGATCTTTTGACGTGGTGTGTGGATTTTATTTCAGCTATTTGGTAGTAGAAGTCTGCTCAAACTTTACACTGTGTGGTATTTTTGTCAAATGAAATAATTTTTGCAAAAATGTGACAACACAAGATAGAACATATACACTGAACAAAATTATAAACGCAACACTTTTACGTTTGCCCCCATTTTTCATTAGCTGAACTCAAAGATCTATGACTTTTTCTATGAACACAAAAGGCCTATTTCTCTCAAATATTGTTCACAAATCTGTCTAAATCTGTGTTAGTGAGCACTTCTCCTTTGCTGAGATAATCGATCCACCTCACAGGTGTGGCATATCCAGATGCTGATTTAGACAGCATGATTATTGCACAGGTGTGCCTAGGCTGGCCACAATAAAGGCCACTTTAAGATGTGCAGTTTTATCACACAGCACAATGCCACAGATGTCGCAGTTTTTGAGGGAGCGTGCAATTGGCATTCTGACTGCAGGAATGTCCACCAGGGTTGTTGCCCATGAACTGAATGTTCATTTGTCTACCATAAGCCTTCTCCAAAGGCATTTCAGAAAATTTGGCAGTACATCCAACCGGCCTCACAACCACACACCACGTGTAACCACACCAGCCCAGGACCTCCACATCCAGCATCTTCACCTCCAAGATCATCTGAGACCAGCCACCCAGACAGCTGCTGTAACAATCGGTTTGCATAACCAAAGAATATCTGCACAAACTGTCAGAAACCATCTCGGGGAAACTCAAATACATGCTCGTCATCCTCATCAGGGTCTCAATCTGACTGCAGTTCGTCATCGTAACAGACTTGAGTGGAGACACCGTGATGAGATCCTGAGGCCCATTGTTGTGCCATTCATCCACGACCATCACCTCATGTTGCAGCATGATAATGCACGGCCCCATGTTACAAGGATCTGTACACAATTCCTGGAAACTGAAAACATCCCAGTTCTTGCATGGCCAGCATACTCACCGGACATGTCACCACCCATTGAGCATGTTTGGGATGCTCTGGATCGGCGTATACGACAGCGTGTTCCAGTTCCTGCCAATATCCAGCAACTTCGCACAGCCATTGATGAGAAGAGGACCAACATTCCACAGGCCACAATCAACAACCTGATCAACTCTATGCAAAGGAGATGTGCTACACTGTGTGAGGCAAATGGTGGTCACACCAGATGCTGACTGGTTTTCAGACCCCCCAATATAATAAAACTGCACATCTTAGAGTGGCCTTTTATTGTGGCCAGCCTAAGGCACACCTGTACAATAATCATGCTGTCTAATCAGCATCTGGATATGCCACACCTGTAAGGTGGATGGATTATCTCAGCAAAGGAGAAGTGCTCACTAACACAGATTTAGACAGATTTGTGAACAATATTTGAGAGAAATAGGCCTTTTGTGTACATAGAAAAAGTCATAGATCTTGAAAAATGGGGGCAAACGTAAAAGTGTGCGTTTATAATTTTGTTTAGTGTATAAACCACAGATCAGTGGATGCTTTTTAAAAACTTACCTCCACACAAATGGATACCTTACAAAACCTTCAAATATGTCTATCCACAGTTCCTAGTTTTCTTATCACGTCATCAGATCGTTTTTGTTTTTTAGAAATTCTTCTCCTGCCACCCTACAGAACCTTTACACAGCTGCAATTACACTGTCTCTGGGTATCAATCCTGATTTAAATTACCTTGAGAGGGGCTACTGTCTGCCTTTTCAGTCACCCACCTATAGTTAATCAATTTTGCAAGACAGAAAAAAAGACCTGTGGCCACCTGGCATCTATAAAATGACAGGGGGTCGATGGCTGTGACAGTTCTCTGGCTCTTCTGTCCATCAGCCTGAACCTTCTCATGTCATTGCAGTTCTGTCTTTCTGCAGATAATGCAATTTGTTAATTAGACATGCAGTAGATTAATTAAACTGATACAGAGGTGTCGGTTTACTGTTCATCTCCGTGCACAGGAGTGTTGTCATTGCCAAGGTGAGAAGAGACAAGCAAAGGCAGAAAATTAGTGTGCACCAGAGGGATTTTCTTCTGTATATAACCTGATCCTGCTTTAGTGCTGTGTGATGTATGAAAGATTCTGACTGTAGTTGTGCTTACTGTATACTCAACTGCCTTTTCCATTCTGAAGAGTAACAGTGACAATGAAAAGAAGGTTGAGTGTGGAGCATAAATAAGAGGTGTTGAAGAAAAAGGCCGAAAAAAACTGAGAAACTTAAATGATAAAAGTGCTGAAGTCAGTGTTTGGGCCATAATTACAGAAGCTTCTACCTCAAGTGCTCGAATTAAACAACAGTAGTTTAACCTGGCAATAAAGGGGAAGGCGGAGAGAGCTCGTTCTATCCCTCTCAAACCCCTCTTTAAATCAGGGACACATGGCAGGAGCGAGCAAAGGTGTGAACAGCTGTGAGACTCAGCCCCCAAAATGAGGAAACCTTCATCTCTGTGGACCCTCTCCATCATCATCTGCAGGGACCCTAACCACTGTCAACATCCTCAATCAGTCTCTGACTTACAATGGGCACAATGATAACATGATGTGAAAGATGATGCTTGATGATAAAAGCTACAGGATTCCAACTCTGCAGCATTTTCAGCGGGAAGGTTTCTGGTAGATTCACAGTATGCTAGCTGCCCAACATCACACAGCAGAAAGAAAAAGTGACTAACTAGAACTTGGTGGAGCATTTAGCAGCTACAGATCTAAATATCTGCCTCAGAAGTTGGGTGACAAAAACAGGGTCAAAAGATGAGTATTGGATTTACATTCATTAGGTACTCAGAAACATGGCTTCAAATGAATGCTAATGCGGCGCCCATGCTCTTTGGATGTGTAAATAGACTACTGTTTGCTAAGATGTTAGCCATAAAGTAATGGCTTTAAGCTTTTGTTTTAAGAACAATATTGCAATTTTGTCAGTGCTGTAATTTTGCCGACCGGTTGCCCTGATCCATGCAATGAAGACATATTAAACTACTTTAATACTGATATATTTTCAGGGATGTCATTCCTATTTTACTGTTCGTACTAAACCACTTGTTGCGGGTATCAAAGTTTTTGTTTTTCTAGAAATAGGTCAGAGTAGCCCCATGTTTCAGGTCATTGTTGTTAAACAGAAAGTTACTGGGCCAAGTAGAAGATGAGAGACAGAGAGGTTAAGACAACAAAGGAAAAATGGAGAAAAGAAGTATAAAAGGTACAAAGGGATTTGTCATTGTCCCGGTGAGGCCTGGCAGCACTTTGGCAGGCCTCAGAGTTGACTATGATACAGGCCGGCTTAGAAAGCCAGGGGTGGAGCTAAGGGCAGGACAGGTCGGGGGACAGGGTAGAGTTTTGGTTCTGTAAAGTTGTGAAGTCATGTTTGAGGAAATATGGGTGACAGGCAAACTGCAGTTGGCAGCAAATGACACAGGGAAAGGGGGTGTTTTAAATTTTTTTGGTTCAGAAGTGAGCGTGGTTGTGGCCCTGGCCCAGCTCTCCTCCGTGGTGGCCTCCGTCTCTGTGGCCGTGCCTCTTGTGATTCCTACGCTCTCTCCTGCCCTTGTGGTGGTGGCGCCGGTAACGGTGTGCTTGCCGGGCTGGTGGAGCAAACAAAGTGGAAGACAGAGCAATAAAATCAAGAGCAGTCAGTTTATAAAGAATTAAGTCAGAGATGGAATAACATGAAGGGCGGAAGTGGAAAACTGATGTAAGAGGGAGATGAGTCACAGATGAGAATCAGAAGCATTCAGATTGGAGGAAGGCGAAACCAGGTAAGAGGTGAGGGAGAAGGAATCATAAGGAAGGAAGTTCAAAACCCCATGCTCTCCATAGATGGTTTGTTTTCATCATGCTGAGGAAACTTGTTTAATCTCACATTCAGTCGACTGCATGTCTGAGCGCACCGGGCTAACCACCCACTCACAGCCACAGCATCATCTTGTTCTTGGGGTGTACTGCCAAATTAAATTGTGAGCAGAGTGAAAGGCTTGCTGAATATTTATTAATACCAAACTTTTATACTTCCTCTGAAGAACCAAGAAATTATACTGAAAATGTCAGTTATGTATTCTGTTACAGTCAGAGTGAGTCCAGGAAAAGTGAAGTTTGTTTTGAGGCTCAAAGGAAATAAGGTGTGTAACAGTTGCATAATAAAAGAATGTTATCAGTGTCACACTGTACTGAAATAAGCGGCAGCATCAGTGCTGATATAACACTGACACAGTTTCACTCAGTGTAAACACTCTGAGCAGATAGATTTGCTGCACTTGACCACGACTGACTTTCATTCCTCTTCTTTCCAGAGCAGTCCTCCACCTTTCCAGGTGTTCCTCCACCTGCTCTCTGCTCTCACTACAGATCACAATGTCATCTGCAAACATCATTGTCCATGGAGATTCCTGTCTGACCTCATCTGTCAACCTGTGCATCACCATAGCAAACAAGAAAGGACTCAAAGCCGATCCTTGATGTAGCCCCACCTCCACCTTGAACTCCTCTGTCTGACCTACAGCACATCTCACTACTGTTGTACTCCTCTCATACATATCCTGAACTACTCTGACGTACTTCTCTGCCACTCCTGACATCCTCATACAGTACCATAGCTCCTCTCTCGGCACTCTGTCGTACACTTTCTCTAAATCCACAAAGACACAATGCAGCTCCTTCTGACCATCTCTATACTTCTCCATTAACATTCTCAGAGCAAAAATGCATGCAGCTGACTTGGAGAAGAAGCAAAATGACTCTGAAAACAAAAAACTGCTTGGAACAGTAATTCAGTATGGGAATGTTATTCAGGTTTGTTCTTTTGAAATAGTAACTTGGTATTAGTCAGATGAACTTTGTTTAGTCTGCTGCCAAGTTTTTATTAAGCTGAGATTGCACTGACATGCCATCAGTGGAGATGATTTAAACTGTCAAAGTTTCCAACATCTCTAGTCTTAAATTTGAAATATGCCTTAGCCTGAGTGCATGGAGAGCGTGTTTCCTCAGTGCTAACTACAGCCATAAATTACATGTTCTAGTATTACTGTGTTGTGAATTTTAGTATAGCACTGATGAAAAAGAAGACCGAAACTGCATGCAGTCATACTACAAGTCAGACTACAACTAAATATAATAAAGTCACGCATCCTGAACTGAGAATATCAGAAGCTCATGAGAGACTAATAATGACATGATACAGTAACAGCTACACTTTTACAATATGCTCTCATGTGCACATTCAACTAATAGGCCAGAAAAATCAATAAACAATGCCCAGTTTGTATAGTAAGGAGAAGGTTCTCAGTCTAGTTATGCAGGAAATTATTATGTCTCTTCTTGTAATCCTGTGTACTGTCTTCAGTTCTTTCTACGTCCCACTTCTTTTCTACTGTCTTCAGTCCTTTCTACATCCCACTTCTTTTTAGCTAGCCTCTTCCTCTGAATGCTGTCCTGTACTTC